GATGAGACCGCTTAAGAAAATTACATAAATAATTTATTTATAACGCTTGTAATATGGAAGTATGTGCCCCCCCCCCGCTACACAAATGCTCTCGTACGCCCCTGTAGACACCCATACCTAAAAGCATAATTTCCCTTACAGTTCCTCTCAGAAAAACATAACAACTTGTTGTGCTATGAAAATGTAAAATACTAAGATGCTAAAAGATGAGTGCTTTATGGGCATGTGCATTTTTTCAAATTTTTCTTTTCCTTTACTGTTCTTGTACATTAAATAAACCATTTTATTTGGGGTATAAAAGATTTAAAGATATACGACTCTAAGGTCTAAGCTGTCATTGATTCATCAAAAGTAGCAATGTATTCTTGTTGACTATACTAGACTATACTAGACTATACTAGACATCCACCATTAGCAAAGGGTTTAAACCCATACTCCTTGACTGTGTAGTAGACTTTGACATCCACCATTAGCAAAGGGTTTGAACCCATACTCCTTGACTGTGTAGTAGACTTTGACATCCACCATTAGCAAAGGGTTTGAACTGTAGTAGACTTTGACATCCACCATTAGCAAAGGGTTTGAACCCATACTCATTGACTGTTGTAGACTTTGACATCCACCATTAGCAAAGGGTTTGAACCCATACTCGTTGACTGTAATAGACTTTGACATCCACCATTGGCAAATGATGTGAACCCAATCTCATTGATTGTAGTAGACTTTGACATCCACCATTGGTAAAGGATGTGAACCCATACTCATTGACTGTAGTAGATTTTGACATCCACCATTAGCATAGGGTGCAAACCAAAATTTAATTGATTACAGGGGGAAATTCTTTGCTGATTACAATCTATTTATTTTGTTTAAAGTTTTACACCCATTTTTAAAGTGTTAAAATCTTATTTTACAATTAGATTGTGTTAATTTTAAAAGTTCCTTTGCCCCTTGAATTCATTTCTGTACTAAACCCGCTAATTAAGTTCAAATACAGTCTAGGAAAGTGATTAGTGGAACAAAATGCCCATGTCCGGAGAAACACCACCTCTTTTTAATTTAAAATATAATAATTATGGAATGAGTTCTGTTTTTATCAAATAATACATATAATATCCAATAGAATTCTACCTCCAGCCTTTGTAGGAATTTAGAAAGATCGTCCATCACTGGCAGACAGAAAACAAGCCACATGGGAAATATCTAAATTAGAAAATCTATATATATATGTTGCCAATAGCCAGCTAAATGGCTGGACCGAATTGGCTGAATTTTTTTTGTGGACACTCATGGGTGGCCGAGGGATGTTTTAGGCTAAAATAAAATTCGACACAAAATTCCAGATTTTTTTACGCAACATTTAAAAAAAAATATTTTTAAAAAATTTCATATTTTTTTCCACGGGCAATGCCAGGCCCTTCAGAAATTTCATATTTTTTTATCACGGGCAACGCCAGGCCCTTCAGCTAATCTAATAATTTAATTTATTTCATATTCACATTCTGGATTAAAACTATTTGCAGAAGAAAATGAATATCATTGAATACTGAATACTATTGAAAAAAGCAGCAGCTAAGTATATAAGTAAACATATATTTGTTTAAAATTTTTTTTTTAAATGTGTTTCAAAGGGGTCTCTAATAATTTGATTTCCAAACCTACTTTATCCGTTTTCTACAAATAATACCACATTACCTTCATTCAGGATTCAGGATTCCCTTGGCAATTTGCTCTTTCTTTAATGCTTAGTTGAATGAGTTGAATTAGCATAAAATTGTTGGTCTTATATTCTAAAATATTTATACATTTTAAGCTTGGTATGGCATATGGAGATTAGTAGACTATGTGTACTTTGTATACCTCATTAAAAGTATAATTAACTTCTTCTCTTTCATTATCACTAACTCCATCATCAGTATCTAGAAAAATCCTTATTTCTACAGGGTGTCTCTGAAAAAAGTGTTTGGCTTTTTAGTCTACTAAACATCGTTTAAATGTGGTAAAAATTGCTTCTAGTACAATGTCAATAAATGGAGGGGGGTCGTCGATGAAACTTTTTTTTCTGAAATGCTGTGTTAACATTCAAAAGCAGACCTAATGTGCTAAAATTTTCTCGGTCTCCTTTTCAAATATTTAAAAAAATATTCAAATTTTAATTTTACTTTTACGTTTTATATGAAATAATAGTATAATTTGAACATTTTCAATGATAGAATTTAGGATATTTTAAAATCTTAATGACAAAAATGATAGATTGCAAATTTCTTTGAAAATCTTTGGAAAAAGGACAGAGTACATTTTGAAACCTAGAACGTATTTTAAATTAATGTCTTTTAACGACATTGCGGTATTTTCTTAACACTCACTAATAAACCCTTAGATTGAGACAGATCAATTAAGAAGGATCAACACATAATGTTGGTTGATCCTAAATTGCTCTAGCCTATAGTATTGTACCTTATATGTCCCCAATAATATAATGTTTAAGTTTTATATGCACATTTTATTTAAACATATTAAACATACTTACTTATACAAATCATTCTGTTAAAGTAGCCAAATATTAATAACTATTGACATCCTTCTTGGTGGTGTCTGGGATATCTAGTTCCTCTGACCAATGGTTCCATGGAGGTTCCATTCTGTTCACCCATGGATCAAAGGACCAACATGATTCCTTGGCATAATCCTCAAGAGGCTGGAGGCTGTCCTCATCCTTGGAATTCCTGTTCACGTCAAGCTGTTTAACTCCATCTTCTAGCTGAGCAAGGGCTGCTGATCATGATAGACCAGAGGCATCAATTCCACCTTCATCTTCTGTAGAATGATCAGATTCCAAAGCTGGAAAGTTCTTTTCCTCAGCTGCATCCTCTTCCTCTGCTGGAACTGTAGCAATGGAAGCTGAACTGCTCTCCAGTGGAGTTAGGTCCAGAGGATCAATCCCCTTCTCATCTTCATCCTCAGGACTTCCAAGGTATGCAGGGTTCCTTAACATCCATCCCAATCTACTCATCTTTATGGGGACTCACTGTAACTATAGAATGTTCTGTGCACTGTATGTAGCACAGGACCCAGAGTGGTAATGTGCAGGAGACTTGTGTCTACTCATATCTAGATACATCAGTGTATCTAAGTGACTGTTCACCTTTCTGGATCAGTCCCAAATACAACAACATTATATCTACTAGGCACACATTGTAGTAGAATAAAACAACCTTTAGTGGGTGAAAACGCAACTAATATCTTAGGAAATGGGACCGAGAACATTTTCAAATATTATGCCTAATTTAGAAGGTTAAAATGGCATTTTAGGGAGAAATGTTTTATCCACGACCCCCCAACATAACCAAATTTTTAAAAATATTGTCCATAA